TCAAGTTGGGGATTGTGATACCCCCTGCCATGTCTCTGTTGGCTAGAATTGCTTTTGCTATTCTAGGTCTCTTCTGGTTCCAAATGAATTTTTGGGTTGTTTTCTCTAGTTCTGGGAAGTATATTGTTGGAATTTCAATCAGCATTGCATTAAGTCTATATAGCAGTTTTGGAAGTATGGCCTTTTTCACTATATTGGTTCTTCCTACCCAGGAACCAAGGGATGACTTTCCATTTTCTTGTATCCTCTTTGATCTCTTTTTTCAGAGTGCTGTAGTTTTCAGTGTAGAGGTCGTTTTGCTTCCTTCATTAGAATTGATTCCTAGATATTTCATTTTTTGGGAATGCTATTGTAAAAGGAATTGTTTCCCGAATTTCTCTCTCAGTGAGTCTGTTATTTGTGTATAAGAAGGCTATTGATTTTTGAGGGTTTACCTTGTATCCAGTTACACTAATGAATCTGTCAATTAAGTCTAGAAGTCTTTTGGTGGAGCTTTTTGTGTCTGCTATGTAGAGTATCATATCATCTGACTGAGCTACATATTTTTTTTTTAAGCTGTCTCATTATTTAGGCTATTTAAGCAGTAAGCTTATGTTGAAAATGGAAGTGAATTTTTCAATTGCTTTTAAAAGTAAATAGTAATTAATGAACTTACTGTTATACACAAAATTGTCGACGTTTAAGGTGAGAATCTTTGCCAATAGAAAGACGCTGCTCCAGATTGTGAATGGTATTACAAAGAATTGCAACCTCTTTGTTTTTCTCTTCTTGAAGGTGTTGAAGCTTCCTTCTGTAGACACTCTGTGGGGAAATAGTCGCATCCGGATATGGTTTTCATTTAGTCTGAACTCTTGCTAGTTTGACATCAGACTCCAGCTGTAGTTTGACTATTTCATTTTGCTTTTCTTTTTCTTGACTTACTAAGTTTGCATTTAACTGAGATTTCCATCTCCTTTTTCTTTATTAGATCTTTGTGCTTTTCTTCATTTAGTTCAACTTTTTTCTGCATAACTGGATAAAGTTTGCTTATTTCTGTCTTATGTTCTTCCGCTTTGATTTTCATTTCGTGTACAAGTTTGGCAGTATTATTCCTATATTCCTGTTTGTGAGATTTCAGCTTTTCCCTTGTCGTATCAGCATTTCTTTTTAGTTGTTCATTTTCATCTCTCAAATTGTGTTGATTTTCGGTGGTCTGTTTTAGCTCCTTTATCATATCATGAGGCTTCCTTTGTTTGCATTACTTTTAATAAACAGGCGCTCTTTTCCAACTGAATTTCCAGTATGTTATTCTTCCACTAGTTTCTATCATTTTCTTTTCTATCTGTGAAAAGTCCTTTATAAGTTTGTCAGTATTCACACTGCTAATCTTTTTTGTACATTCTTCGCTACTTTGATCCATGCTTGGACTTGATAAATACTGTAAAATTTTGCTGTTGTTCCTGGTTCCTCAAAATAACTGAGCTACATCTTAAAGGGACCTAACAAAGTAGGGATACAAAGGCTGATAGATGATCACTTCAAATATAAAGAGATGTACGTGAATACACACCAGGGATATGCATATGTGTGTATATAAAATGTCTCCATGCATATAAAAATATCTCTACAGACAATTAAAAGTACACGTGCATATCTGAAGCCATTTATATAGCCAGAAGTGGTGGTGCATGCTACTTTCAGTGCAAAAAACCAAATCTCGCCGGTGTTCTTCTGTGAGGTGCGGTGATGCACGCGATGCACGCGGTCCCCGTTGCTCTGCAGGCTATGGAGGCACCATCGCAGGGTGACTGGGTGGTACCAGGGGTCACCCCCTCCCGCTTCACCTTCCAGGAGCACCACGGTGAAAATTTAAAGTTTGCTTTTTAAAAATCGTCACAGGAAAAGACATGGCCGTGAATCCCCCCCCGAATCCTCACCTTCACTTCGAACACATTGGTCATGTCTTTCCCCCGACTTCCTGCAGCAGCTCTGGAGTCCTCTTTCCTGAGGTCTTCACTGGGTGTGATCAAAAACACGGTGACTGCTCTGCCGAGTGCCATCCAGCGGAAAGGCAGCTCATAAACACACAACGCTGTGTCCTCCTCCACCCGAGTCACTGCAGCTGGCACCGTGGGACTCCTGGCTCCTCCCCAAGGTCAGGATAACCGGGAAAGGTCACCGTTTTGAGTCCACTCGGGACATTGAGGCAGCCAGGACGGCGCAGCTAAAGACCCTCAGGAAAGAGGACTGCAGAGCTGCTGGGGAAGCGGCCAGGATGGTGGGAGGAGGGTGTGCACAGCCGGGGAGGATTCCGAGGGAATTCATGGCCATGTGTCTGTTACTACAATTAAAAAAAAAAATATTTAAACATTCACTGTCCATTTCAGTTATGTCTTATGCATCTGCAGCTTCACCGTTGGTGGGTTAGAGGTGCTGGATGGTTTCATTGCTGTCTTCAGATGTCTCCATGAGATGCAGACATGATTTTCCCACTTGCAGAACCAGGGAGGGGTTGGCAGTGGATTAGAAAAGACAATAGTCCCGGAGTCACTTTACCGAGCATGTGGCCCACGAGGGTTACCAGGCCCTTGGTCATCTGTTTAATTGGGGCACAGAAATGACCTTCCATGTGTGTCCCCACTGTCCCTCCTGTAGCTGACCCTCTGTTAGCATGCTGGGTACGACCCTACTTACAAGGTGTACAGAATGTGTTGCTTTCGTGCACACTGCTCTTCTCAGAGCTGACGTCATCACAGTGCGTTTTTCTCTTGAGGACTGCTCTGGAATGAGGCGCCGGGTGTTCCTGTTATTTCTGACAAGATATCATCCTCCGGGGCTTAAGGAGTCTTAATCTAAGGGTTCTTCAGAGGGAAAAATACTGTTATGCTGAGATACATTGTTTTGTTTTACTCCTGTCTTGGGAATGAGGGTAGAATGTAAAAGCTTTGATGGAAAACTCCTTTAAAATCACTGTGGCAAATAGCTAGACAACAAAGTGCTGTGTGCCCAGCACACAAAAATTATAGGTAACGTATCTGAAGTATAACATCAAGTAACCCTATCACATCCAACCTACAACATCTTAAAAATACTTGTGTTAGGTATCTGTCTATCTTATCTGTCCTCTACCTATCTAGCCACCTGTTTCTCTATCTCTCTGTGTCATCCATCTATTGATTGAATTCTGGACATTTCATGTGTCCATCCATCTATCCATCCTCCACCCATTCCATCCACCCACCCATCCACCCATCCATCCATTCATCTGTCCACCTATCCATCCATTAATCCATCCACCCACCCATCTATCCATCTATCCATCTATGCACCCATTCATTCATCCATCCACCCACCCACCCATCCATCCATTCATCCATCCTTCACCCATTCATTCACCCATCCATCCATGTATCCATTTATCCATTGACCCAACCAACCAATCCATCCATCCACCCATCCATCCACTCATCTATCCACCTATCCATCCAACCATTTATCTACTGATCCATCCATCTGTCCATTCATCAATCCATCTATCCACGCATCCATCCGTCTGTCCATCTCTAAATCAGTTCATCTACCCATTCATCCATTAATCCACCTGTCTATCCATACGTCTGTTTCTGCATCTCTCATCTATCTACTTATGACTTCTGCATATTTCATCCACCTATTCATCTATCTCTATATATCGTATCTAGTTATCCATCCATCTATCAATGTATTGATCTGACAATCCTGTCTTTTTACTTACCTTCTATGCTTGTATATATCTAGGTAGATCGATAGATGACGTATCTATGTATCTATTATTGTCCCCAAATACACATTTTTTAAAAGTCTTAATTGAGTAATAAGCATTTAAAAGCAATATATTACTTACTTTTGTTCATCTGTTGCCAAACTAAAGCAAGATGCATGTACTCAAGTGTCTATATTTTCTTTCAAACAGTTTCTCCTTGAGAAAATAGAGGCTCACCCATGGTGGGGCATAAATTATTTGCATTATCATTTAAATGATCTTGCCCAGCTTCCCATAGTATTTTTTTTTTTTTTGGTACTGGGGATCGAATTCAGGTCTTGCGCTTGCGTAGCAGGCGGTGAAACCACTGAGCTAAATCCCCGGCCCTTCCCGTAGTATTATAGACTGTATGTACACGAGGTAAAATTTTTTCTCTATTGTTTGAAACTTGTTTGATCATTTACCGTGGTTTTTTAAAAACCTTGAAACTTTGCCAGGTGAAAATACTAAGTCAGTAATATATGTGACTCTGTGTGTGTGCAAAGAGGTTTAGAAATGAACAGACGCTTGATTGTTGAGAGAGAAATCCATGGGTGTGCGGATAGATGGATGAATGGACAGGGAAGGAGGGGAGAGAATTGAGTGAGTGAGTTGATGGGTGGATGGATGGATAGATGGATGAGGTAGATCAGTGGGTGGGTGGGTTGGTGAACGGAAAGATGGATAGATGAATTGGTTGATAGGGAAATGGATGGGTGGGTGGATGGATGGCTGGATGGACGGAAAGAAAGGTAATTGGGTGGGTGTGTTGGTAGAAGGATGAGTGGGTGGGTGAATAAATTGATAAGGAAATGGGTAGATGGATAGATAGTTTGGTGGATAGATAGATCAAATAGGTGGATGGATGGATAGATACCTAGGTAGATGAAAATAGATGAAAGATTTAATGATAGATGATAGGCAAATAGATTAGATGGATGGATGGATAGATAGATACATTTGACACATTTCCAGGGTGGTCTGGGTTGGGTGGGGTAAGGTTGTTGGCCGTAATTCTTAGTAAAGGACCCAACAGTTACCCAATGACATTTCACAGAATTTCATGCAACTTACGCTGAAATCCTATCCTCAGAATATTCTGTGACGTGCAGTGCGTATTTAGCTTTGTTAAAGCACCCGGCGCCGTGGCTGACCGTCTCCCTCGGAGACCTGAGCTGTGTTTTCCTGTGAACCCAGTGAATTTGGAGGCTCCCCCCCCGCCCCGGGGCCCCCCGCTGCCCATAACCATAACCACGCCCGTGGTTGGCTTGTGTCCTGCAGGTGAACGTGGCCATCTGTCTGTCGGAAATCTCCATCAAGGAGAAGGTGCAGGAGCAGAGCCCCGAGGAGGAGCGGAGGCAGTGGGAAGAGGGGCGTGTGGACTACCTGGGGAGGGACGCCTTCGCCCGCATCCAGGAGAAGCTGGACCGCTTCCTGCAGTGAGTGACATCTCCGGCCAGCCACGCCCGGGCTCACTGTGACCATGGCTCCCGACCCCGTCCGGGGAAGCCCTGTGAGACTCCGTGCCTCTCTGTCTGCTTAACCAGCCTGAGTGCCTTGCGGAACTGACGGAGGTGGCACAAACCCACCTGGAAGCCGCCTCCTGGTCGCCCCAGCTTCTGCTGTCTTCCTGGCTTTGTCCCAAAGTCCGATCTGCCCTTTAACTTTCTTTTTAACTCCTCTGACCTCAGACCTGGTCTTGCAGGACGGAGGTCTGAGTGGCCGCCGTGCATGGGTGCTTCAGAGTCAGACTCACTTGCTCCGCTCTGCTGTTCCTCGGCTGCTAGCAGCACTTGCGTTTGGTGCCTCAGCCTGCCGGGATGAGAGACCCCTTCTGCAGCCTGTCCCGGGTGCATCCCGTGGGGAGGCTGCAGGGCGCAGCTGAGAAACCACAGCTTCAAGCCCAGGGCTGCTTCCGAGGGCCAGAGAACGAAACCCAGTGGGGTGTTGGCGAGAGAGACCGGAGCCGTGGTGGCCCTGAACTGCGTTGCTGACCACTTTGCCCCCCACGAAGCAGGGCAGTGCCTTCTGCCCAGAGACAGCGTCTCCGAGTGCTCCTTGCGCAGCCGCGAAGTGAGTCTGCTCTACCTCAGTTCTCCGTCACTTACGGGAATCGCTTTGCTCCCCAAAGCCACCTCCAGGAGGATTCTCCGTGTCACGAGCCTGGAGACTGTCCCTGGACAGGGGCCGTCCGCGTGTCCCGAGTGGGTGCAGGGCGCCGTGTCTGGCTGGCTGGGTGGCCGTTGGTGGTCATGGCCACGGTGCTCAGAAAGCACGGGGTACGTGTGCTGACATGAGGCCAGCATGGCCGTCTTAGCCTTTGAGCGCTCTGCATCGTGGACGCGCTGCAGAAAGCCAGGGGTTTCTCAGCCGCAGGTTGGAGGGATTCCAGTGCGCTCGGCTCGGCGCTGCTTGCATTGCATGGGTGCCTTCGGGCTGTTCTCCCAGCCCCTGCAAGCGGCATGATGGCTCTTGGGTACAGGAATCAGCCTGACCTTCTGGCTTCAGCTGCGCCGGGTCTGGTTTGCCGGGATTTAAATTTTAGCACAGCCATAGCAATAGGGCCTCGGCTTAGGTGGGTAGCGTAGGTCACCGGCCAGGGCACAGATAACACCGTGCGGGAAAATTACGCGTGGGCTTGGGATGTGATGAGCAGAAGGCTGAGTCTTCACAGGACACACGGGGAGGATTCCAGGCAGTGAATTTTGAGTCTGTCGGGCTTTCTCCCGAGAGGAGGCCGCGCGTACGCGCTGCGGGTCGTCGGTGGGAGGTCGAAGCCGCACCTGGTATTCTGCTATGCAATCCGCCGTGTCCACCCCGGGGAATGGTGCTCCTGCCTTTGAATTAAAGTTTTAAAACAACCCGCGACCCCTCTGGTGTGTATCTCTGTGTGTTCTGAGAAACTAGGATCCCTTTTTTGGAGGTGGGTTGGGGGGAGGCAGGGATAAAGTGAGGATGGGACCTAGGGCCTCTGCACTGAGCTGTGAGCTGTGTCTCTAGCCCTTTTTTATTGTGAGAGCCATGCTCAGGTCCCCAGGCTACGCTCGAAGTTCTGATCCTCCTGCCTCAGCCTCCCGGGGACAGGCATCATGCGCCACTGTTCAGTTCCCTGAATCCCATTTTGTGTGGGACCGAGACTGAGTTTTTTTTCTACAAGGCGGTTGAATTACAGTGTAGACCTTCCAGAGTGGGGGCTGGCAGGAAAATGAAGAGAATCCCTTGTTTCTAACCCACCGAAATTTCATGCTGGCGCCTTAGGGAGGCTGCCCGTTTTCCGAGCTTGGCCATCTCCGTTTCGTTCTTCCTGCCCGCCGTGGTCTGTGAGATCCCTCCACCAGCCAGGCACTGTGGTGCACAGTTAATCAACTCGAGGAGGTTGAGGTCACCGTCATGATGCTCCACACCTCGCTGATTACGGAGTAAGTGAGGCTTGGAGCGTGAGTCGGTGGTAGACCCCTTCCTAGCGTGTGAGAAGCCCTGGGCTTGATCCACGCCACTGAGAAAGGAAAGAAAACGGAATAGATAGACGAGGTAGAAAATGACGTTCTAATCATGTCATTGTCTGAGTCGTATCAGCTTCCGATGGAGCAGTCCTTCCTCTGTGATACTGGGGCTGCTGCAGCATTTCGTAAACCCGAGCCTCCAAGAAACCTGATCTGCCTCCTTTACCACTAATTGGTATGAAGGAAGGAGGGTGAAGAAACGTTTGGAGAGGGCCATGGTGGGCGCAGCTGTAATCCCAGCACTCCAGGAGGCTGAGACAGGAGAGTCTCAACTTTGAGCCAACCCGGGTAGCCACTGAGTATAAAGTCCTGTCTCAAGACAAAAATAGAAAGTGATTTGTTTTTGTGTTTGTGAGACAAGATGCTGGACCTCACCTCGTGGCCTGTGGGGATACCCAGGATCCAAAGCAGGCGCCACGTCCGGCGTCTGTGCCAGTGCGTTCCACGATGTGCACATGAAACCCGAACCTCAAGGTGCATCTCTCCAATGAATGCCCACCGTGTAGCCACGCAGAGCTGTGTACTTCTGTTCCTCAAAGTCCGTGGGTCAAATGCAGCTAAAACCATTGGCCAGCACTGGAGACCCTGCCAGTAGAGCTACGGATGAGAACCGGGCGTTTCACTCGGCTCCACGCTGGGGCAGCACAGTTTCTGTCATGTATCTTTCTTCGTGGCAGAGTAGTACTCCGCTGTGTGTAAACACCACGTTCTCTTTATCCATTCATCTGCTGGTGGACAGAGGCGGCTCCTAGGATGTAGCTACGATGAGTTTTTAGACAGATGACCCTTAAGTGGTTGACACGCAGAGTTGAGCTGCGATGTGACCCCACGTTTTCCAGTAACGGAGACAGAAAGCAGAGAGAGGAACCGACATTACCCCGCTGCTGGATACCCCTGGGAGCCTGCTGTAACCACCAGCGAGTGTTTTTCACCATAGGCAGCAGCCTCCCATGAGAGAGAAGCCGACCCCCCAGTCTGGGTTCAGAGGGCTTTTGGTTGCTGCTTCCTGACAAAAGTCCAAAGGCAAATGTTTAATTTGGAATTGTTTAATGTGTAACTTCATCCCATCCCCGGCCCTTTAAGAAAGGTTTCTCCGATTCTCACATGGATGAGCTGCAGCAGCTCACAAATCTCCAAAGGCGTCTACATTTTTGTTTGTTGTTGAGACAGGGTTTCCCTGTATAGCCCAGGCTGGCCCTGAACTCACCGTGATCCTCCTGCCTCAGCCTCCCAGGTGTGGAATGACAGGCGGGTGCCACCACCCCTGGCTCAAGGCGTCTAAATTGAAGGTGAGTTTTGTTTTGTTCGTAACGAGTTGTAGACTGAAACTCAGACCCAGGTCTAGTTTCCCTCAGCTACACTCAGGACAAACTTGATGCTTAGAAAAGTTAGAGAAGAAAGTAAAGGAATTTGCCAGCTTTTCCCTGGCTGAGAAACTGCAGGTAGAAAAGCCCACCTGTCCTAAACCCACGTGAAAGCCGATTCCATTTTTACAAGCAACTTTATTGGCTATGGCATGGAAACCGTCCAATTTAAAATGCGCAGTTTGGTGATTTTTTTTTTTTTTTTTTTTGTAGATTTACCCCTTCTGCAGCCATCACCCACTCTCTGGTTTCATGCTATTTCCTAAGAGGTAGAGGGATGCTCTTCACTAAGGCAGCGCTGCGAATTTCAGTGCTGATTTTGCAGTGTTGGGAATGAAACCTGGGCCTTGTACCTGCATTGATTCATTCCTAATTGTTTCTATACACAGATTTTTGGAAACAAAATTTTCTGCATAATCACCTTTCTCGGGGGTTGATCTAAAACACAGAATGCCTGTTATTCTTCCATTCGTCTGCAGTGTCTATGTGATGTCCAGTGCTGTGGCAGCCCTCTTGGCACCAGGAGGACAGTTCCATAGACTAAGGACGGTAGAGGAGGAAGTGGGTATGGACAGTTCTGTCTCAGAGTCCTGGCTTTTGGGGTGTGCTGTCGCTGTCTTCCTGGCACCCACAGAAGGGGAACGTCCCACAGCATGGCTGCAGCCAGGGCCTCCACAGGACCCTGCTTGTGGACAGCTGCTGGGGCACCGGGCTCAGGGTCTTCCGGTGCTCAGCCACGGCCTCGCCCACCCTGGCCACCACTGCATGGAAAAGGGGCTCGGAGTCAGGCGACAGCAGTCGGGCCTCTGCAGGGTCACTGGAGAGTTCAAAGAGGAGAGGCGGGCGGTGGTGGGTCACGCCGTCCCCAGAGCAGGGACACACACCACTGCCATAGCAGGCGCCCGCTCCTGGGGGATGGAACCGGGGTGTCGTGTAGTGGACCTTCCAGACTTGGCCACCTGCACAGAGCAGGCAATCAGGGTGGGGACACCGGGTAGGGTGGGGAATGATGCATGCAACCACCCACCCACCCA